TATGGTGAGGCACTTTTGGGGCGCAACCTTGTGCGTGTGGCCCCAGACACCGTCGTGCGCACAAAGAGCTTTCAGCAGGGCTTGTGCACGAGTGAACGCCCACTCCCCGTGGACGATGACCAGCATTGTCGTTTTGTCGTATACACCGGCTCTGATTCGGATGATTCGTGGGCTGGCAATGTGAGCATCGGTGTTCTCCGTGTGGACCCATCTTCGTGCTTGCCTGCTGCCCCGACAATCATCACAGATTTGAGTGATGTAGCCGTGTATTTGGATGGGACCTCAATCAAGTACCAGGGTAGCGTGGTGAGCAGTGATTACGGGATAGGCCGACCTCTCTCCACGGGGATGCATGTTGAAGTGGATGTGGACCCGGAAGGCAGCGTGAGCTTTATCATTGACGGAAAACCATGTGGTGTTGCCTTGAAAAACTTTGTCCCGTCCACCGCCACCACCCCACTTTACGCCATTGTAGATGTGTATGGCCAGTGCCAATCCGCCCGCATCGCAGCCTCGCACCGAAGCACCGCTGCGCCCCATAGCTTTGCCTTTGCTGGCCGGGATGAGCTGGTGCAAAACTGCTTGAGACTCACCACACGGATGCGCCTCGAGACGCAGCCAACACAACCGACGGGTGATAATGATGGTATCACAACTTTGGAAGGATCCAAACCGGCAGGCCCAGCAGGCGCGGTCACGCCCGAGCCTACGCGTGACACCAAAACGACAGAAGCCGAGCTTGACCCATTGCCTGCTTTGCGCGCCTGGATTCGAGACGCGGGCGTGTCCTCGCAGTCCGCCCCTGTGCTGATGCTGGATCGACTTCCTTTCCGAGCCACCCTATTGCAGCCTGCGCTTAGCGCACCACCCTTAGGCGCTTTACACCATGATTCCATTCTGCTACCGCCCCGTATGGTGGCCTGCGAGCTCACCCATGTGCCAACCAAATTGGACGTTGCTGCTGAAGATGATGGCGACGGAAGTGCCGATAGCAAGAATGAGGGCATCGGCGCCCCCTTGCCTCGTCTCCCCTTCCGACATCAACTTCGGGAGACGTGGTTGCACGTGACGCGACTGGTGTTTGCGCCTGATTTTGCGAAACTCGCGATGGCCGAGCAAGCTGGGCTCCTTGGGGCCAGTTGGGCTCTGGCGCAGACGTATGACATGCATGATCTCCTGCCAAGAGAAGACGATGATTGGGTGACCGCTGCCTTGGAACGTGCAGTGCAACCCGCTCCCCTGCGTCACTTATTCGCGACTGATCTGCCCACGGCTTTGCAGCGGCTTCTTGAGCCCACCACAACTAAACACGTCCGCCGATTTTTTGGGCAGGACGCTCCAAGCCGCTTTGCACATCTTGAGTTTACTACTGCGACTGAAGCACTCGAGCAGTATTTGCGGCGCGAAGGCCTGCACAGTGACGGCCCCGTTTGTTCTTGTTGTGATCGGGCCATCACGCTCGGCCCGACATTTGAAGTCGACGTTGAGTTGCGCAAGCTGTGCAGTGCCTGTGCCCACATGTGCACGACCCCTGCCGAGGTGGCTCAGGGCCCGGCTTGGTGGCCAGCGCCTGGGCCTAGCTGTCAGGCTGAGGCCGGCCCCATGGGCTGTCGTGCGCATCATGTTGATATTTCTGATCCCGCTAGTGTAGCGCGGTGTACATCAGCAACGCTGACTACATCTACCATCCTAGCGTCCACTAGGAGCGAGTGCGTGCCCCCGACAACAGCCAATGGGGGTGGTGTACCCGTGACCTTTTGGCGTTTTGATCTTTACCGTCAAGACCAGGGTGAGGTGGCCCTCAGTGGCGTGCATGGCTTTGTTTTGGACACGGAGTCGGGAGAGGAAGACAAGCTGGAATCTGTACTTATGGACGTATCGGTGCACCAGCCGCGGGAAACAACAACAAATTGTCCGCCGCGCCAGCTCGAAGTCAGCGTTTCTGCTAAAGTCTTTTCCATCTGCTTGGTGATACCCTCCACTTACCGACTTGAATATGTCGCCCTGGCCTCGGATGGCCCCCTCGCCGTGCAACGCGTCATAGGCCGCCAAGGCCTGTGCTTTGAGCACACAGATTTATGGTTTGCCCACGATCTTTCGAAACATGTGGGCTCCAACACGGTCGCTTTGTTGCCCCGTCCTGCACTGCGCCACCTTCGCGGCTTTGGGAGAAGCATGGCGAAGACTGCACCAGTTCTTCCCTTGTCTTGTCATGATGAGCTGAACCACGTGCCTTTGGACATGGTGAGCTTCGCCCTTGCTGACCATCAGGAATACCAGCGCGCGACGCACGCTGCCGTGCAGACCCTGCAGATCCAGTTGGCCAGGCTCATTGCTCTCGGTTGGTGGAAGCAGCAAAAAGGCAAGCTGCGCTGTTCGGCCCCCACCTCAGCAGCCAGCTCGCCGGCTCGTGTCGAAGAAAAAGCGGATGGGTCGCCTTGCCCGGTTGATGAACCGGGGTCATGGCCCTGGACACTCGCGATGCTACGACTATGGGGAGCTCAGCGTCTAGTTCCAGCTGCGAACACGGCAGCTTTGGCTGCAACCAGTCTATCAAGCGAGCAGCTACCCGTGATCCGACTCTCTGGGGAGCAATTGGACGACCTAGCAAGTCTTTTGCTGGCCGAGAGCCAACGCGTGCGTGAAGTTGCTGGTCCCACTGTGGCCACGCTGATCACCAAAGACGGTGATAACCAGCCGCACTTGCTTCAGGGCCAAGTGATCTTGCCCAATGCAAGTTCCTTGCGCCTGGCCGTGCCTCACCTCTGCGTGGACAAGTGCACTTTGCACCTGTGCGACGGCACTGGTCTGGAGCTGGCCTGTTTGAGCGAATCATTGCAGTCCAACGCGGTTTGGACCGTCCCAGGCAACGAAGTGCGTTGGTTCCTGCGGGGATCTACTGAAGCGCTGCAATCGGCCCGTTTTCAAATACGCGTTGCTCGAGCGTGGAGTCAGGAGCTCGTTGAAGACGCTGACATCCTCACAGCCAACGGTATCAACTTTGGTTTCTTGGAAGCAGCACAGGCGCTTTTACACCAGCACTGTGCCGTGCTCTCAGAGCGCGCCTTGCTTGATTGGGCTGAAAGCTGTTGCCTGCTGGCCCAACTTCCGTGGGAGGGTGACCAAACGCTTGGACCACGACAACTGGCAATGTTGGCTGACGTACTTCCCCATATCATGGCTCAGCTGGGCCCGACGATCCGATGCCGCTTGCGTGCAGTGCTGCAGCGCGTGCAGCTGCGCCGCCACCTTGAATGGAACGACTTTTTTGGTCAAGTTTTTGCTCATAATGATTGCCTTTACCGAGTCATCGATATCACAACCATGCTGCATACGCGGGAAGACGACGCGAGTCTCAATGATTTTCGCGACGAAGGGACCGATGGTGGACAAGAAGACCCCCGGCTTCGGTTGATTCTGAAGGCCGAACGGGTAGACTGCGACGACTCGTTGGACACGGGATCAGAAGACACGATTTGCGTGGAGATGTATCCATGGCGTGCTGCTCAAGAGCTAGCCTCGCACTTGGACATGTTGCGGCTCAGCAGCCCTGCACTGGTACGGGTGCTGCCTTTTCCGCTCCGTGCAGAGGAACCGGATAGGGATGATGACTTTTTTGTGGATGATGCAGACTTGCGCGGCCAGCTATTGCTCCCTGAGGAGCCAGAACATGGACAGAGCCTCAACAGTCATCGTGCCGCCAAGACCTGGGAAGGTGATCGCCAGACCCTATCAGATTTGCTGCGACATTTGCGGGCCCGCCTTTTCACTTTCCCATTCGATGGAACGATTCCTGGCTGGCACACCTTGAGCACTGAGTTGACGGCGATTCAAGCAAGCCTGGAATCATCCCACTCTGCTACGCTTGCACATGCTGCCATGGGTGGTTTGGAAGGCAGCCCGGCCATGAATGCGGTATCTTCCTCAGCTGGCCGGTGGGTGGACATCGAAGAGACAATGACTGCGCTGCGTGCCCAACTCCATGGGCTTGGAGAAGAGAACGCTGATCACAAACGCGTTGTTGTGGATCATGTTCGTGACCTCGATGCAGAGCTCAACACAACAGACACTGAGGATGCCATAGCGATTATTGCAGCTTTGCTGAGTGGCAGCCATAGTGGGCGGTCGCCTTGGGCGTTAGCTGAGCTGCTCTTGACACTGGAGGAGCAACTTGAGCAAGCACAGTGCGTGCGAGAGGCTCACAAGACGGCCCCCGTCGTCATGCTTCCACTTTATCGCATTGCAGGCGCCGTTGGCCTTCGCAGCATGACTGTACCCTTCGCTTCGCAAGCGGAGCCATTTCCCCACCCAGCTGACTTTGCCAGGCGTTCTGATTATGTGGCCTTTGTCAAAGCGCGCCTGCGCCCAGGCATGCGGGTGCAACTTTTGCAAGATTCGGAGGGCGTGAGTGCCGGGGATGTCGGCGTATTCATTCAGTCCAACTCCAGAACCCCACCCGTGCAATGCAAGTGGAAGCAATACGGTCACACGCGATGGGTACATTGGCATGAGATCGTGTTGCTACCCCCCACCGAGGTACCTGGTTTGAGCCAGACGCATGACATTGGCGAGGCCACCCTCAAAGCCCTCTCGTGGTCTGCTCATGAGGAGACGAACTCCCCTCAACAAGGCAGTGAACTGGCTTTGTCAGCGACCACATGGGATAGCCAAGAACCTGGTCTCGAAAATTTGTGCGACAGCGCGCGAACCAGAGTCGAGGCGGTGGCTTCGTCGTTGCTACAAGGAGAGGCATGGAGCCTCTTTGCGCTTCTGGCAGACGTGCAATTGCAACCTGAGCAATGGCAGGCAGTGGTATTCACGGCGCGCTTTGACGAAGCTGGTCGCTGGGCACATGCCGGGCCTCTGACATGGATAGACCTGGCGCTACGTGGCGGTACCATCCTGGGTGCACAGCTGTGCATGGAGCTGCTTGGCATGCACGATTTGATGACGACTGGTGATGACCTTGACTTGAGCACGTTGATTCGTGTCGGTGCCGTTGATCGTGCCTTGCTGGCTGTGATGGCTCACCAGTCACCTGAGGCACAGCACGACATATTGAGGCAGTTGCCTCAGGCGCGACGCAGCGCACTTCTAGGCCGTGCAGTTGAACTTGGAGCGTGGCGTGACTCAGCGGTGCGCCTTCCTCCCTTGATGACACGAGGATTGGTGCCCCAGTTATGGGACCCCATGCTTCAGGTGATGCGAGTTTTGGACGTGATGGAGGCTTTGGCAGAAGGCAGCCATCCGCTGACGGGCGTCAACCTCCTACATTGGGCTCTCTTACCAGCCGTTTACCAATATCACTGCATCTTTGCCCCAAGCCGGCGTGTGGATGTGCAATATGGCCCCTTTTTTACTGAGAAAGCTGATGCAGCGCTGCTGGCCTGGGGTGACGAGCTCGCGCATGCCTTAAACCCTCGCGATGACGAGGTGGCCGTACCGAAACCCGCTTTACTGGCGTTGGATGACGTTCCTGCCGAGGAACCAGCGATGTCGGAGATGACTTGTTATCAGCCCTCGTGGTGTGCGCAGCCCAGTGTTTCAGCTTTGCTGTCCGAGCTGGATGCGCTTGAAGCGTGGTGCAACGAGCCTTCCAAAGTGGCTGTGTTGCATTGGCATGACCACTACGATGTGAGCCAAGTAGTAGCCCTGTTACGTGGCATGTTAGCCCGACGTTACCCCTTGGTGGTGACTTGCTGGCCTCATGCCCTAGCAGGCCGCGTGACTGAACTACTCAATGCCGGCATGACTCTGGTGGGCCCGACAATATATGAGCTGGGTGTGGATGCTGTTTTGTGCCCGTTGCCCTTCTTGCGCGAAGGCGTGCGCCACATCCTCGGAGCGCTACCTCTTCCATCAGACCATGAAGCCTGGCTCCAGGCCGTGGCTGCATCAAGCGGCGACAATCAAGAGGTTCGGATCACTTATGAGGTGCCTGATCATGAGCACGTGCTTGCCGGGGTCGACCAGTCTCATCTATTTCCTCAGATGGAACCTCATTCAACCAATGGCTTCTACTGTGACATTTGCAACCGTCGAAGTGATAGCAATGAAGGCCGCGTGTAAGTTGAATGTTACTGGGTCAAAAGTCCGAACAAAGGTGTGAAAAAAGCATTGCCAATAGCCAGAGAAGAAGAGGGGAGAGGGGAGACATCAAGAGAGGCGGGCTTGAAGTGGCAAACGATGCGTGATCAACTTGGTTGTGGTTATGAGGTTGCGATGCTCGTGTGTTCCACAATGTTTCCTGCTGTTGGTATCTGGCTTCCCGTCATTAATGGCACTTTTTGTCTGTTTTTATCAATTCTTTGGGTCGAATGTTTGGCTTTCTTTTGCTGACTTCTCGTGCTGATCCCGTTTGGTTTGAGATGTAGGCGCTGCATCAGTGGCTGCGATTACGACCTTTGCAGCTCATGCTTGGCTGAAGAAACTTCAAAAAGCACGACGCAACATACGCGCCTTGTACGTGCGACAGAGCCATCACTCTACCGACCTGTGCGTGCAAATGGCCAAGATCCTGCACCAGCACTGCCGGCGACGCTGGATGGCCTTGCACACTTACCCATCCAAGCGCTGCGGGCGCGCTACGGCACCCTGCGCTGGGCTGGCGATATGATAGTTGCCCCACATCTCAAGCTGCTGCAGTTTCTGCAAGATCCCAAGCTCCACCGTGCGCGTGCCTGGATCTCGATGCCGCTGAAGGAGGAGCTACTCAAGCAACACTTGACCAGCACCATGCGCACCGAAGCCGAACATGGGCCCACCCTACGTGTGGACCGATTGCGTGCTCAGTCACTCGAAGCATGGGACGTGCAAAGCAACCGCCTCCGACTACCAACGCTGGCAGAGGAAGCGCGGACCGTGTATGCACAAATCGCTGAGCAGCTGGCGGTGCACGTGAAAGAGGATGCGCGCTTTTTGCACCTGGCTTCGAAGTTTTGGAAGATTCGCCTGCTGGGTGAAGGAGGAGATGACTATGGAGGGGTCTACGCCGAAAGCACAACCGAGTGTCTTTCAGAGCTGCGGGACATCAAGACTCGCGTCTTGGTGCCCACACCCAATGGGGTAGCGGACCATGGCAGCCAACGAGATTTGCTTCTCATCAACCCCGACCTGCGCCCGTTTGAGAGCGAACATGATCGGACTCTGCTGCACTTTTTGGGATACTTAATTGGCTTCAGCATCCGTTCGGGTGAGCCCATTGACCTGCCACTGGCCCCGTGCATGTGGTCGATGTTGCTCGGCACAGCCCTTACAGCTGAGGATGTGCCGGAGGTGGACCTGAGTTTTGCGCGCACGCTCAACCAAATCCGCGCCCTACCCGAGGACGACGATCTCTTGCTGGCGTGCTGCCTGCCCACAACCATGTGCACGGCGGGCGGTCGACAAGTCACGGTAATTGAAGGACTCGACGTGCTGGACGCGCGAAACAAGCAGCGGTTTTGCGATGAGGCTTTGCGCATCTACTTGAAGCAGTTTGACGAGGTGTTGACTCCCGTGCGGGAGGCACTTGCCAAAGTTCTGGCGCATGAGCACATGTTGTACATGTTCACGCCCGCCGAGCTCGAAACGCTGGTGTGCGGAAGCCAGGACGTGGACCTGGCCTTGTTGCGCGCCAACACGCGTTACGAGGGATTGAAAGAGACGGACGACGTTGTGACGTGGTTCTGGGAGGTGCTCAGTGAGTTTACTATGGAACAAAAGCAACTTTTTGTGCGCTTTACATGGGGGCGCACGCGTTTGCCCCGATCTACGGCTGAGTTTCGCGGCCGTTCCTTCCGCCTTTCGGAGCTTGAGCGCTCTTCCGCTTCAGAAACCCAAGCCGCTTTGCCTGGTATGTTTCGTGCAGCACCTGATTCTTCTCCGTTTGTAGTTGTGCCCAACCAAATCTTATTGCCCGTCGACTCACCTGTATTGCTCACGGTCGGTGCCAATCTCGGCATTCAACAGAGTCCTACACCTGTTTTTTTCAGCTCCTGCTTCCGCACTATCGATCAAAGAAAGCCTTGCGACAAAAATTGGTCGCGGCCATAGAGAACTGTCGCGCCATTGATGCCGATTACAACGCTGCTGACGTTGATGATGACGACTCGGATGAAGATGACTCATACTTCACAGACGAAGAGAGCGGTGATGAGAATGAGTTTATGTGGTATGTGTGAAAGGTCAAGTTCGGAGTCATTGGAAAGGGTGTCAAGTCAAGCTTTGCGCTTGCCTCGCATCAAGACCTTCGACTCTTGGTTTGGGGAGGACGTGCAAGTAAGGGGCGAGGTCATGACCAAGAGTGTATCAGATAAAATCGAACCAGTGCTATCTATTTGCTTCTGTGGAACAGAGGAAAATATTCGATTGGGATAAAGGAGGAAACTGTGGAGGCTGTCGTGAGTGGACTTTGCTTTTTCTTTTCTTGTTTGGCTCATCTTGGCGCTGCACACTACCCTTCAAGGCAGTGTGGCGCGAAAAGCATCAGAAAACAAACCAAAAAAAAAACAGAAAAAAACCCGGAAAAAAAAAAAAACAAAGAACGCACGCATGATGGTGCGGAAAGGTGGGGCAGGAAGACGAGAGAAATACAAACAAACGGAAATGGCAACGGAGGACATGAAAACCAAAAGGAACGAGCACTGCCGCCAAGACAGGGACTGAGTCCCCAAAACAGCTCCCCTACGCTCGCGCAGGAAGGAATGTATGTTGGGCGGAGCAGGGAAACGCACGGGCGCCGTCCGTTGTCATGGACACTTAGTACTTGCGGATAACCGGGGGTACCGTGGTGACCTCCTCCTTGTCGAGAGTGTGGTCAATGACGGGGCGGTACGAGAGGTTGACGGCGCCCGTCTTTTCGTCAATGGTCGACAGGGTGTGCTTGCGCCAGTGTTGCTCAAAAGAACGCTCCTTTTGACCTTCCAGGGGCTTGCTGTAGTCAAACTCGTCCTCACGGTTGGGGAAGTCCTCGCGAGCGTGAGCACCACGGCTCTCCTTGCGAGCCTCTGCTGAGACAATGGTTTGCGTGGCGCAAAGCATCAGATTCTGCAGCTCAAGAGCCTCGATAAGGTCGGTGTTGAAAACAAGGCCACGGTCGAAGAGCTTCATGTCGCTCTGCACGACAGAGTACAGGTCCTCCATCTTCTGAACGCCCTCCTTGAGGGTGGGGCCATCACGGAACACGGCGGCATGGGTTTGCATGGTCTTTTGCATTTGGAGACGGAGATCGGCAACTGAAGAGCGACCGTCAGCAAAGCGCGTGGCATCGAGACGAGCGATGGAGGCTTCACCGGCGTTGGCAGGAAGAGGGCTCAGCTTCTCGCCGGGCTTGTTAATCTCGGAGATGGTGTTGGCGCAGGCACGGCCAAAGACGACGATATCCAGCAGAGAGTTGGCACCGAGGCGGTTGGCGCCATGAACTGAGGCGCAGGCGACCTCGCCGGCAGCGTAGAGACCGGGGACAACTTGCTCCTGGCCATTCTTGTTCGTGATGACTTGACCACGCCAGTTGGTGGGCACGCCACCCATGTTGTAGTGGACGGTGGGCAGGACGGGGATGGGTTCCTTGGTAACGTCAACGCCGGCAAAAATGGCGGCTGTCTCGCTGATGCCGGGCAAACGCTCTTGAAGGACCTCGGCGGGGAGGTGCGAGAGCTGCAGGTAAACGTGGTCCTTGTCGGGGCCGCAGCCACGGCCTTCACGAATCTCAATGGTGGAGGAACGAGAGACGACATCACGCGAGGCCAGATCCTTGGCGGTGGGGGCGTAGCGCTCCATGTAGCGCTCGCCCTCGGAGTTGAGAAGGATACCACCTTCGCCACGGCAACCCTCGGTGATGAGGCAGCCGGCACCGTAGATGCCAGTGGGGTGGAACTGAACAAACTCCAGGTCCGAGTTGTGGAGACCAGCGCGGGCGACCATGGCATTACCGTCACCAGTGCAGGCATGCGCCGAGGTGGCGGAGAAGTAGCAGCGGCCAAAGCCACCGGTGGCCAGAACCGTGTTCTTGCAGTGGAAGCGATGGAGGGTACCGTCCTCCTGGCACATGGCAAGGACACCGACGCACTCGCCCTCGTCATTCATGATGAGGTCCAGGGCGAAGTACTCGATAAAGTAGGCGGTGTCATAGCGCAGGCTCTGGCCATAGAGGGTGTGCAAAAGACTGTGGCCGGTACGGTCAGCAACGGCGCAGCAACGATGGGCCTGGCCGCCACGGCCATAGTCCAATGACTGAGCACCGAAGGCGCGTTGGTAGATACGACCGTCCTCGGTACGGGAGAAGGGCATGCCATAGTTCTCGAGCTATGGTTGGACAGGGGTCGGCACGAGAGGCGATGCATTCGTGGTGGCGTGAGCATAAACGCCACGGTCAATAGAAAACTCCGTCAAAGCAATCGCATGCGGAACGGGCACGAGCCCGAAGAAAGGAACCCAAAAGCTTGACAGCGAACAACACGTGCATGCACACAAACGTTGAATCATCGCCACAAGTTCGGCAGAAACAAACCTCAATGACGGTGTTGGGCGCCTCCTTGGACATGTAGTGAATGGCGTCCTGATCACCGAGCCAGTCGGAACCCTTGACCGTGTCGTAAAAATGCCAACGCCAATCGTCATTCTCCATGTTACCAAGCGCGGCGTTGATGCCGCCCTAATGACAACCAAGCAAAAGGAATGCAAGACAGTGCTTAAGATTGAGAGATGCCATGGGACACGCAGGCATATGATATGATGACGCTCGGCTGTGAAGCGGTGACGCCATTCCATTGGTCGGCAGTACCTGGGCAGCCACCGTGTGGGAACGAGTGGGGAAGAGCTTGGTGATGCAAGCCGTCTTGAAGCCCTTCTCCGTCAGGCCAAAGGCGGCACGGAGACCCGCGCCACCGGCACCAACGACAACGGCATCAAACTCATGGTCCACAATGGGGTAGGCCGAGGACACCTGTTCCGTAGCGCGAGCGCGACGAAGGCTGGTATGCAGCTGGCGGCTGGCGCTGCGTGCCGCCGTGGACTTGACCACGCGTGTAAACATGGTGAAACCCAAAGAGACGAAAAAGAAAACCTGTATTGCTCGCAGCGGGGTAGCAACAAGAAGAAAAATACCAGATGAGAATGGCGAGCAAGAGGTGTCACAGAGAGGAAGAGAAAAAAAAAGAGAGAGAGAGAAGAAGAAGGGGGGGGGGGNGGGGGGGGGG